CATGTGGAGCTGAATGATCAGTTTATGATTTTAATCTTATAGTTTTTTTCTTCAGGTTTTGATGTAGAATCTGCTTCAAATAACAGTGCTGTTGGTAAGTTCATGTTCAGGAGTTTTCAGTTTTATAATTAATTTCATTATTATTCATGATTTAGTTGATCATATCAGCATTTTTTCCTGTTTCTCCATAGCATGGTGTATAATCAGTGGATCCATGGTTTGCATCGTTGCTTTTCTCATCATTTTATGGTTCACAAACAGGGCAGAAAAAAGGTATTTCTTTCACACAGTGTCTGAATTGTCACCTGGATGTTCAACTCAGCAGATTATTGTTTGTGGATTATTGAGATATATATACTTTTTAATTTCACAGGGGGATTAAAGTTGCACCAAGCATGGCACTAGAAGATGCATTGGAAACGGAAGTGAAAGATCCAGTGAAAAAGCCATGTGAAGATTCATTGAACACATCATCTATATATGCATTGGACAGGTTATTTGAAGATACATTGATCCCGCTACATGAAGATACATGGAGCAAATCATTGTAAGACCTTCTTTACTTTGTCCTTCATTCATAGTAATATTCTCCTTTCTCTTACCTCTACCTTTACTTCTTGCCTCCTTTTTGTATATTTAGTCCTTTAAATTTAAATCTAGAAAACTTTAAATCATTCACTTGTCAATGCAGCTTCTTCTTCTCTGATGTGTTCATCAGGTTTATCTTACTGTGCAACTTTTAGAGTTTAATGTTTTTATACAACATAACTTTCAACAAAAAAGTTATTGTTTCTTTTATTTTTCAGTGTTGAGGAACCTTTAATAGTACCTCCACATATAGAAACCATAGTGAAACCACGAAGGAGACTGCAGCAGCCAGGAGTAAAACCAGCAGGATGGTCTGAACAAACTAACCCACCAGTCTGCAGTGGAAGAGATGAAGCAACCGACCTGAGATCAAAGGATGAGGAACATGAAAAACTATTGTGAGGTTATGATGAAATAATTTCTAATCATCTCAATGAGATGCTGGATTTAGTCAGTTTACAAATATGTATTTATTCCAAACAAAAGCAAAATGTAAAAAACATCTAGTTCCAGTGGTGTGAAATGGGTAGATGTCCGCTTGCCTGTTGTCATGGTAACTCATTGAATCGGAGCTTGACTGATGATGTTTTTCGTAGTTGTTTCACACATGCTTGATGCTCACTACAGGAATAGTTTGATTCCTGTAGCTGTTTCTCTTTTAAATAAATTTTAATGCGCTTTTGCCCACTTATTTATTTCCATCTCCAATGTCTCTTATCTCTTAGTATGCTTGTAATTATTTAATACAGTCATGTTAGGAATATTAAATAGGCGTATTTATTTATTCATTTTTCTTTTAACCCTGTTTAGTGAGGCGCTGGGAGTACCTATTAAAGTGTGATTGTACTAAATTAACTTTTCTTCTGTATGTGTTCTGAGTTGTTTTTGTAGT